AGTGAGGCAATGGCTGACCTGTGACCTGCGCTGGCAGACCTGAAGCACCTGTGACCTGCGCTGGCAGACCTGAAGCACCTGTGACCTGCGACTGCTCACATGGGAGCGGCGACAGTTGACCTGAGGCACCTGTGACCTGTGTTGGCTGACCTAGAGCACCTGCGACCTGCACTGGCAAACCTGAGGCACCTGTGACCTGTGTCTGCTGACCTAGGGCACCTGTGACCTGCATTGGTGGACCTGAGGCACCTGTGACCTGTGTCTGCTGACCTGAGGCACCTGTGACCTGCATTGGCGGACCTGAGGCACCTGTGACCTGTGTCTGCTGACCTGAGGCACCTGTGACCTGCATGGGCGGACCTGACGCAAAGGAAACCTGACCTTCCGCATTCATCATCACCTGAGGCTGCGTCATTCTCCTTGGCTCACCATGGAAGGGTTCATTCGTAGTGAAGTCCACAGGTGAGCTAGTTCTCCCAAGTCCAAGGAGTCTCTGAGACCTTTCGGAAAATCCAGGTTGGTGGGTCCTTACTTCATGTGGCCTCAAGTCCAAACCCCTCGTAGAGCCCATAAGGTTTCCCAAACCTCTACCCAACCAACCCAAACCAGGAAATCCTTGCATCCCAGACTCACCAGCAGGCATAAAGGTCCTAGACTGTACATCATCTACCAGCCTACCCCGTAACTCACTATTCTCCATGGCCAACGCTTCCACCTGTGCTCGAAGGCGCCTGCCCTCCTCATCTCTAATCGCCATCAACTCGGACAACTGTCTCCGAACTTCAGCCTGAATATCACTCGACGAGGACGAGGGTGGATGTTGGACGGTATATGGCAACGCTTCAGTTCTCGGATACAAAAGCGGAGCTGCCCGCTCCAATTCCCTCATCCTCGCAATCATGTCCTCAGTCAACAGCGGCGTCGAAGGTACCTGTGCCGGTTGAGGTGGGCGAGCTTCCACACTCCACGAAGATCTCACTGACGCGTACTCAACCGCGTCGTGGCTGCTTGGTGACATCCTCCCCGGTGGCACAAAGGACTTTGGTACTACACCCGGCACGACATTCTCAACCGCCGCAGGAATAGCTTGAACAGCCCTTGCTATACCACTAAATAAGCCACCACCCGAGCTCGTAGGTCTCGTTGGGCCTTCGAGGAAGTCCCCAGCATTCCGAGGTGTCATCCTTCCGGTTGTCGAAGAAGGTGGAGCTCCACCGCTGGCTGGGTTCATCCCACTTACAGTTTCCCCATCCATGTCCTGGGGTCCCTGAGTCCGGGAACTCACGCCATTCATCATGGCCTGTCCCGTACGACCAGCAGAGGGTCTACTCCCGCGATCATCCGTCGGAATAGCATCGGCAGCATTTGGGCTAACCATAACCTGTTGATCAACATCAGGTTGATCTTCTGAATTTGGGTTCTCGTTCTGAGTGGCCATGGTGATCTTGAAGAGGTTGACGAGAAATCAATCAAGTCAGGGGACGCACGACCATGGGCTTACACTCGTTTTACGCTCAAATCAAAGCTTCAGTGCGCTAAGCCTTTAAGGCGTCGCTACATTCTCAAGCTGTGACAAGCTGCTAGCATGCAATCACTGGACTCTGTCCTAGTTCGAGCCTTCAAGGCTTTAATTCACAGAAGAGTGAAGCTACGACCGAACTCGAGTCTCACAAGCAGTTCGGGAACTCAACAAACCCCTATAAATCCCTTTAAGGAGCCCCTTTAAGGAACCTTACTACGTCCCATGATCCTCCAAGTAGGGTTGAAGGTGTAAAGGGTTTGCATTAAAGGTTCAAGGTCAGGACGCAGGGGTTTCGGCTTTAAGAGCCTAGCAATTAAGCGTATACCGGTTTCGGCTGTAGCGGCTTAGGAGCTTTTCAGCTTCTTGTGACAAGCCCTTTGCTTCGAGTCTTCGGCTCAGGGTGATATAGGTGCCTTCAGAATTAGAATAGGGTTTGGAAGACTATTATACTATAATTCGAACAGGGAGCCCCCAAAATATCGTAGGTAAGTAGTCAAATCCAAACCGCTATATTATGGGACTCGGAATGAGGACTCGGAGGTTCAAGGTCCAAGGATTAGAGCTAGGGATCGCTCCAAACCCCCGATGCATCCAACCCCAATGCCCTAAGTATGATCCCGAATAAACCCTCAAGCCCTACTTGGAGGTGCGTGGGTAGTGATTGTAAGTAGGGATATAAATCCTCTAGTATCAACTCATAGTCATAGGCTATCCTACTTATAAGCCCCACTTATAGCTACCCATGAGCCTCCAAGTACACCCCTAACACGTAGACCTTCACTCCCCCCAAGCGGGAAATGGCGTGAACCCTGAAACCCGAATCTCTGACACCGAAGATGTCCTGACCCGAAAAGCCTCTTACTTTCTTGCCCAGCGTACTGATGGAATTAACTTAAATATACAGGGACTTGAATACCCGCAATTGGCATATAACCCTTCATAGAACCGATCAAGCAAAGGAAAGGACGCCTTAGCGACATAGAGATACTTTACGGGAACCCTGAGAGGAACATCTACAGATAACCCTGGAAAGATCTGTAGGGGCTCCTCGAATAGCTCTCTAGAAGGAGGTTCCTTTAGTATTTAGCAGCAATCTATCGAGACATCCTTTGGTGACTTCCTTTCAGGGATCTATAAGTCTATAAGGATTCGAGTAAGGATTTTTAAAATAACTTCCTTTACGGGCTCCCTTGAGGGTTCCTTTAAGGGATCTATATAAGGCTTCCCTTTATGGGCTCATGTCGCGGAGAAAGAAAGGATCCTTCTTTCGGAAACCTTGAAGAAACTCTGCTGGATCGATTCTAGACGGATCCCTTAAGGGATCCTTTAAGGGTTCCTTTAAAGGAGCCTACTTGGGGAATCCTTGCAGCAAACAAGGCCATTAAAGCAACCCTTAGGCAAACCATTCAAAGCAACCTAATCCCAAAGGGTCCCAAGTACCTATAGGATAGTAGAGTGCAGGGATAATGTAGGGTTTCCACAGTAGGAACTACTAACTAAAAGAGTTGGGGAAGTATCCCCCATATGGGGTCTACGTGGAAATTCATGATGCTATGGGTAGTTGTAATTGGGGTTATAAGTAGGGTAACTAGACTTATAACTCATATCAGGGGACTTATATATACCCTCCTTATAACTACCCTAATCCCTAAACCCTAAATCCCTATAGAGCCCTTTAAAGGAACCCTTAAAGGATCCCCTATAAGTACCTCGGACCCCTTGGGGAGTTTGGCACCCTCAGATCGATGGAACCCGGTCCTGGTCCAGGAGCGTTTGCAGCAAGTAAAGCCTCGCTTTCCCAAAACCCTAAACCCCAGAGATCCCAATAGCAACTAAGTAAGGAATATTCAATATTCCTTAGTTAAGGGCTTTTGGGATCTCTGGGGTTTAGGGTTTTGGGAATATTCAATCGTATTAGGCATCCTACTATATAACTTAAGGTATAATCCACAATTAAGGGATATTGGAGTCTCTGGGACCCCGAAACACATCTCTATGCATGGTCTAAACTGGGGCTTGCAATCGGTAGGGCCTGGAGCCTGGGGTTTGGATTTTAGGGTTTAGGGGATTGAGGGTTCAGGGTTTAGGGGATTGAGGGTTCAGGGTTTAGGGTGTCAGGCTTAGGATTTAGGGTTGGGCTGGGGCATTAAGGTCTGAAAGGTTTCGGGTTTATTAACTCCGCCGCACTTCCTCCAAAACTCCTCGTGCTTCCTCTATATGGATACGCAGTGCACATACATACGCAGTGCTTACATACGCACATACATACCATGCAGGCAGAAACACCAACTTCTCTATGTGCTTATTGTGGGCTTGGTTGTTGATCTTTTCTGCTAGTCGCTTACCTAGTCCAAAAGAAACCATTCGCACATCTGGAGCCCCATCGCTACTGCAGCTATCCAGACCTTCCAAAATCCCTTAATTAAGGAATATACCTTAAATTATAATAGGATCCCTTATATGATTTAAGGTATATTCCTCATTTAAGGGATTTTGGAAGGTCTGGGTGTGTCATCCCTTGGGCTGAGTTCGCAGCCGTTGCTGCCGATCGCGCTCCTGGACAATCTGCGTGCCGATGTAATGAAGCCTGACCAGGGATGCCACATGTTCCTAAGGGTTCCATAATTAACCGTCGCTAGCCCAGGACAAAACCCTCCTGGATACAAAAGGTGGGTCACCCGGCTAGCGTTGGCACTGATAGCGGTATGAAGATGAAGTTCAAGAGAAAAAGAAAATACTACCATTAATTTGAGAACGAGTATGAAGCTGTAGCTGAAAAATAACAAAGAAGAGAAAAAGACGAAGAACATCATGTAATGATGATGACGATGACAACGATGATGATGGCAATGACGATGATGACGACGATGACGGTGGCCATGATGGTGATGATGACGGTGAGGATGATTCTGTTTCACATGGCCATCAACTACTAACTGTTGAGTCTGTGATGCGATGCACTCATCCCAAGACTCAGGATGTAGAAGCACTACACACTGGCGACTGCTATTGATGAAAACAGTGATGATGATTGTGACGATCATGAAGTTGATAATCTTGATGTCGAAAGACTTAACCATCAACATCAGCCGATGACGATGACACTAATGAGGGGTGTCATTGATTGACTCTATACCACCAAACCATACCCACGCCTGAGCCAAAAGCCTTCAACACAAAACGCTTGTCGCTCCGGTTCTCGAGCTGGCAACTTTTTTACCGAGATCACATCGCAGATACCTTTGACCTGCTGCTGCTATGGTACCATGGGGCGCTTGTAACCCAATGTTGCCCGTATCGGTGCAACCGAAGACACCCTCGCTCGCTGACCTGTTAAGTTTACAGACTTTTGGACTTCAGGGTGTTCTCCGGAGAGTTCTCAACATCAACAACAACTTTTCAGAACTTTGTATAGAATGCTGTCTTTTTCGTGGCTGTTGAAAGTTGAGTGGCTGACTGCTCGTATGTACAAAGCCTCTCACTTTGCCTTCTTCTTCGGCTTCTTCCCCGCCTAGGTAGGATGTCGGGTTTAGGGAAGCCGCAACAACTAAGTAGTCCGAGACCACAGACATCAGATCCTAAGACAGTCCAGTCCCAACGCCCCGTACCCTGTAACGGCCCTGGAAGGGCCTTGGGGCAAACCATCGTCTACTTAAAGGATCATGTCACTTAGTAAGTAGGGTTATAAGTAGGTTATAATTAGGATAACCACACTCAGGGCACTTATATTCCCAGTTATAACCTACTTACTAAGTCCCATGATCCTCTAAGTAGGCGAACCCGAGGCCCTCTTCCTATTTTCGGATATTTACTCACTTGAAGCGTCTTCGGCCGGAAGCCAGAGAAGCAAGCAACATAATCAGGCAAGCAACCCAAATCCTTAACCCTAAATCCTCAAAACCCTGACCCCGCCCAGAACCCCAACCCTCAGCCCCTAAACCCCCATCCCCCCTCTGCCCCCAGCAACTGATAACGAGTGAGCTGGGTGTATAGGATCAGGTCGTGGGCTTCAGGGTATCCGGGGCAACGTCTTAAACAACTTTGCCGCTTGCCGGCTCGGGGTGTAGGGGAACGTTTAGGGCGCATGAAGCTTTAAGTGGAGGCTTTGGGGCTCTGGATTCAGAGCTGTGGGTTTCGGGCTTAGGGCAGGAGGTGTTGTCATGTCCCCGACAGAACGGTAAGGCTGGGACGGTGCTCTTCAGCACGTCTGTCAAAAAGCGCCGAATCCACTTGTCTTCCTCCTCGCCGTGGTCGACTCCTTCATCGACGACCTCCGACAAACAACAAAATTAGCACTAGTAATCCAAACAGTCATAAAATGACTGAAATGGAAGTCGAGACAATCGCTTCCGTCATGACGAAGATCATGACATGATAGTAATCACCGACAAAACCAAACGCCTCCACCTTCCAACGAAAACAAAACAAGGGAGACTAATGCCCCAACGACCATAAACGTGCGTAATTCCGCATACTTTTGGTGCCCAGGAAATGTTTAGCATGTTTGACCCTAAGCCCTGAATCCAAAACCCCTAGACATCCAGCTTGCGAGGTCCCCTAAACCCTAACCCCCAGACCCTAAAACCCTAGACCCAAAGCCCTAAACCCTGACACCCTCAACCCTAAACCATAGACCGTAAGACATCCCTTAACCCTGAAGAACCTACATTTTTACGGGCTTATACAAAGAAATCATAGTAAGGACCCTAAAAAGGTAGGTCCTTCAGGGTTAACTTCCAGCTTGCGAGGTCCGAGGCGCCATCTTGACTTCCGCGCCGGCAGCTTCCAGTCGCTCGTACGTGGCCTGAAGGCGGGTCGGCTTTGGAAACCGAAACCCGAAATCCTGAAACCGAAAGAAAGGGCCTTGAGAATTAGAATAGGGTCCTGAGTGGGGAACATTGTACTATGTATAGGTATAATAACGAACGCTTCAAAATTGTATCGTAACTATTTAGGCGTCGGGTCTTGAGCTGGTGTGGGTTCATTGGGGAGTTTATGTTCAGACCCTAAAACAAAGGTCCTCAAATGCTGCGGCGGCCATCATCTGTTGCAAAGGTGTTCGTTTTGAGTCGGCCCACAGCTGACTCCAAAGCTAGCAGCTTCCAACACATCTGAATAGGGCTTAGCGTGCTTGGGTGTATGTTTGTGTCTGTATGTGTACCCGTTCTGTGCACACACATACATACCCCTCTGCGCACACCCCTAGCATTGTGAACTTCGTTTCCGGACCACAGGACGAGAGGGCAAACACCCAGCTCTGTCATCCATGGGGGGGACCTTCCCCCGATGCTCCCAGTCCAAGACCCTGAAAGGGCTTCAAGAGCCCTATATTCTAGAAGGGCTCCTATACTTTCCTGTATCAAAGGATTCTGTAAGGCTTACTCGAAGGGCCTGCCCAGAGGGTCCAAGTACTCCCTATTATAGGACTTTAGGGCCTTCGGAGGTCCCAAAACTCAGAAATGCGCACTACTTGGACCCTTCGGGTTGGGGTTTAGGGTTTAGGGTTTAGGGTTTAGGGTTTCGGGTTTCGGGTTTAGGGTTTAGGGTTTGGGGTTTAGGGTTTAGGGTTTAGGGTTTAGGGTTTAGGGTTGGGGTTTAGGTTTTAGGACCTTCACCCAGACGTCCCATCGCATGAGCTCGTCGTCCAGGCCGTTGAACCTCAGCCAGATTTCGCAAGCCGGGGGGGGGGGGGGGGGGGCGGGGGGTTGATATAGGGGCCTTGATCATTAGGATAGGGTTTTGGGGACCATTCTACTGTAATCACTTATAATAAGGATCCCTCATAACAGTATCGGCAATTATTTAAGCCCCTATATTTGGGATTAGGGATTTGGGCTGAAGTCCGAAAAAAGTTGGAGATGCCATCGAATATTGGGTTCGGGGTTCAGGGCAAGGGCTTCTTGGGTGTTAAGTTCAGGGCGTAGCCTTGGGTGAATGCGTTCTTTGACCCTGGAGTTTCAGATTTACCTATAGCCTCCATTGAAGTTCCTTTGTTTGGTTAACCAATATTATGGTTAGGATCCTATAATAGAGTTTTTGGTCAACCCATACCATAAGTAGAATTTTGGGTTAACCAAAAACAGGAACTACAATGGAGACTACTATAGGTAGTAGTGCAGGATTTGCGGGATCCTAGACCTTGAACCCGGAAACCATATAACCCAACTTTGAAGCTGCCCCTGCCGCATCTTCCTGCCGACTACAGTAGAAGCCTAAAAGTTGGAAACTCAATAGCCTGAATCCTGAAGAGTAATATATAGGGAATCCCAGCACGATTTGGCCTTAATCCGGTTTCCAACTTTATGGGGTTTACTGTAGCCCTGTAGCCCGAAAACCCTAGACTACTAAACCCTAAACCCGAAACCCAAAACCCAAACCCCAAACCCTCAACCCTAAATCCTAAACCCTAAACTTTATGGGGTCTACTGTAACTTGGAGTTGAGGTTCTGTCTTGGACTCACCGGGGGGTTTCGAAGACGAGGCAGGGCTTCAGGTTACTATTCCAAGTGAGCTAGAACCAGGGCCGGGTGTGCAGGTGTTGCTGACGCCCTTCTTAATCCCCAAACCCTAAACCCCGAATACCAAGCCCAAAACCCAAAACACTAAACCCCGACTCCTAAACTCCAACCTTTCAAGAGGCTATTCTGTTCAGCCTTGGGTCATCTAGCCAACTGTTTCAAATTTCGGCGAAATGGGAGTTTAGGGTTTAGGCTAAGAGCAGGTAGGCGTAAGGTGGTCAGAGTCCTATACTTCAGGTACCAAAAGTGGGGAATGTTGGGCAGAATGGACAAGTCAAACCTAATCTCAGCAGAGACTGAAGTGAGCTGCGTTGTGCATGGGCGGTTTCGATTTCACCGAAGGGATCAGAATTTACGCTACGTAGCCACAACTGGTTTAGGGTGTCAGTGTCGGGTTCAGGAATAACTAGTAACTAGGTAATTCTTTCAATTAGGGTCCCTCAAACAGCACGTCTGGCACCCTGCTGTTGAAAACCTAAAAGGGCTTAGAGAGCTACCCAAGGTCCCCAAAGTAGTACGGCACCTCTATAAAAAGGGCCTAAAGGGGACACGAATTTAGAGAACTACCCAACTCGGTTTTGTGTCGCGGCCGTCAGCCGAGCCGCGTGTAAACTGGGATCTTCTTGGACAGCCAGTCGCGGGAGATGGGCGTACAGGAGAGCAGGTGTCCCATTGTGCCTCAAATAGGGTAATTCTGTAAATTAGGATCCCTTTCAGGGTGTTTTTTTGTATAAGGTCCGTATTTGTTTTAGAATTGTGCCTCAAATTACACCGCTGGGTTGTAGTTTTGGAGCCCCCAAAAGTACTTACAAATAGGTATCTCTGTACTTAGGACCGGAAGCTAAAAGAAAATCTCACTGTGCCTCCCTGGTTCTAGGCCCATGAAAACCACGAGCATCAACCAAGGGGTTTAGTTCAGGATTTAGGGATTTAGGGTTTACGGGGGTCTGCGCTGTGTGCGGCCGTACTGGCACGACTTGGAGTGGGAGCAGTTGATCTCATAGGGTTTAATGTAGGGGCCTTCATAGTTAGAATAGGGCTTTGGGGCCGATTATGCTATAAGCATAGTAAGGAACCCCCGAAATAGTATGGGTACTTATTCAGGCCCCTGTAATAATCTGATGCCCCTGCCGACTCAACAGCCTCGCCAGGAGTGTCGGCATTGCAGCCGGGACATTTAAAACTTCAACCGTACCCTTAACCAAAATCCGTAAGCCCTAAGCCCTAAAAAGCTAAAACCAAAATCCATAAACCCGAAACCCCGAAACCCCGCACGCCCGAAAACGCTGGCGCCCTGAAGCCCTGACCGAAATCTTAGATTAGAACCCTACACAACAGGATCCATTTTCGAAGGTACCAACATCTATTCAAATTCCCACGTAGTTATCCTTAGAGCCTTTGGATACTTCAACCTCCAAATCTGCATCACAATCTCAAGCTCGAAGGTTTAGAGTTGACGGTGCAAGGCTTGGAGTCAGGACTTCGGGCTTCGGGTGTGCGGTTTGCCAGTCCGCTGTTTTTTGATTTCGGACTTAGTTTTTGTTGATGTAGGGTTTGGTTGAGGGTTTAGGGTTCAGAGTTTAGGGGTGAAAGCTCCGGGCTTGGAATGTGCATCACAGAGGCCAACAATGCCGCCCAGCTCGCCCGGATAGGTGAGCCCGATATGCCTCAGCTACCCCAAAGACGCCGGTATCGTGAAACCCTAAAAAAGCTCCAAATCCGAATCTGCGGAACCCGGGATCCCCAGACCGAGCAAGGAGTGGTCAGATGTGGGTGTTTCTCAAAATTATGTTCCCTAATATGGTCCTTAATACCTTAATATAATACGGCACCTAATATCTATGGTACCCCAAAAGGGACCATAATTTTGACAACTGCCCATGTGAGTCAACAAGGATTTTGGGTTTATTGTTGAAGTTGCTTTCAGGCTTGGGGGGGAGGCACAGCTGCCAATCCAACCCGTCCCTCCACCCAACACTCACGCATACAGAGCAGGCCCGTTTCCCTGGGTACGGGGGATCCGGGGTACCCGGGTACAGCCCCTTTTGAGGGTTACCTTTTAGGGTCCTTAAAATAAAATTGGTCAAACCAAAAAAAGAAATGGAGACTGTAGGTAACCAGACCTCTTCATGGATGCTCAATCGACTCTCTGGATGATGTTCGCTTCGTGTTCAGGGTTTAGGAGCTTGTTTCTCTGTCCTCGACTTGTAGGTAGGATCCTGCTTAACAGCATAGGGTCCCTACACGCCTTAAGCCTGCCTTGGACCATGGAAATTCCGTGACCAGTGAAAGAAGTGATAATGTGGTTCAAAGACAGCCCTGAGCTCGGGTTCAGGGTTTCGCTTTAGGGTATATACAGGGTTTATGAAGGCCTACTTAAGGATATCCCAGAGGAGAGGTATCCGAGTATATATGTGCGGATTCCTTCTGAACGTATTCCCTCAAGCCTCTAACCTCTGAAGGCGGCCCATACGAAGTGCCTCTAAGGGAGCAAAAGGTGGTGGAGTTGGTGCGCGAAGCTCTGCTGTGCTGAGAGGAGCTTGCAACCCTATCCTAGCTCAAGGAATGAGTCTAAAGGCTGTGGGAGCCTCTTCTTGGGAGTTTCTCCGATTTCTTTGAGACCAGAACTATTGGGTTTCACGGCTCAGTGGTACTTGGGCCAAGCTTAGCCCTAGCTCTACAACGGAAAGCCCAAGCCGAACTAACTCCTTAAAGCCCCCTAAACCCTAAACTGAAACCCTAATGAAGCCTGGCGGTCCCAGGTACAGAGCCGTGCCACAGCCTTGAGAAGCACCCCCCAAGTACACGTTCCTGGCCCCAACCTGACAGATAATTGCATGGTTTAGGGTTTAGGGTTTAGGGTAACTGCGTGGTGGGCAAACACAGATCTTGAGGTGGACACCGTTTCTGAAGTCTAACTCCACCGAGATCCTGCAATGTATGATGCATTCTCTTCGCTACAACGTTGTCGTAGTACTGTATAGGGCTTGAGCCCCCAGCCCTATCCTAGCCCAGAGGGTCCAAGTACCCCCTACTATAGGACTCTAGGGCCGTTTTAGGTACCTAAAACCATAAATAATTAAGGACTACTTGGACCCTCAGGGTAGGCTATCGCTGTGCAACTTATTGTCTTGCGAAGTGCTTTGAGGCGGCCGTAGCTTAGAGAGGAGGCTTGCGCGTATGACGCGGTCCTTTTTTTTGAACCCTCTTTTCCGTCTGCCCAGGGGACGTCCGAAATGCCTGTTACGACTGAGGGGCTGGTTCGGCTGACGCAGCTCATCATACGCAGTCAGGGTTCATGATTTATAAGCATTCAGTTTGGAACTGCAGAATCCCTTACTTGAGATACCTCTTGGAGGCCTTACTTGAGGATATGTCTTGGAGGAGAGCTACACCCAGCACCCTTAAGATGCTCTATTTCGTCTACGTCCGGCAAACTCAGTGTCTTCAAATCCTCAACCCCCACATATATCGACCTGAAAATCCCCAGAAAACAGTCCAAGAGCCGACACCCCTAAACCCTAGAAATGCCGAAAAGCCGGCAAAATTAAGTCTTGGAAGCCCCTAAAACATGGAACCCCGAATGCCCACATCCCAATAAGTTCAAGGCGCCAAGGCGGCTTCCGCGTCCAGCATCTTGTGAACTCGCTCGGTCGTTTGCTGCAGATCTTCGGCAGAGAGTTCGTCTTCCCGCTCTCCCTGCGGCTCTTAGGGCTCCATGGGGGGCGTAGGGCTCTATGCGAGTCGCTTTAAGGGTTGCTACGAGGTATCGATAAGGGCTCGGAAGGTTTATAAAGAAAACCCTTTATGGTAATTTATAAGGTATCCTACCCTGAAACCATATTCCAACTTTCTGGAGTTCCCGTTATGATCTTCAGATCCCGGGTTCAGGCATTCGGGCGGCATGGGATGCAAGACGAGTTTGGGGCTTTGTGAAACTACACCGAATCCCTGCAACGGTTTAGTCTGCAGGGCTTAAAGGGGTCGGGCTTCGGGGTTTGGACGATCCTCATGGGCGAGATTTCATGGAAAGTCGTATCAATGTCATTGTGAAGAGCTGCGGAGATGGCCATCGCTATGCCTGAGGTTTTACTGTAAGCTCTACAGTCTGCACCCGAATATGCGAGCTTCGGGTGTGAGCTTTTACCCGAACCCTAAACAGTAATCCCTAAACCTTTAACTGGGTGGAGAGGGGAGAGGCGGGCCTGCGAAGTGCGACGCCGCCCCTCACTGTCGCGAGCGAACAAAGTCCCTCAGCGCGTTTTGCGCAAGGCTTTGGCCGAGCGGGCGCTTTCCGTCGGCGAAATCTGTGTCCACGTCCTCTGCAGTTCTGTACACTTGTACGTGGGTCCTACATACTCTCTGACAAAATCCTGGAGCGGTCTCGTCGTTTGCATCTTCAACACCTTCAACAGCAAGGTCCCTGTAGTTGCATCGTCCGGAAACTGTGCCCTCTGTCGAACGCCGTGCATCGGATCCTGTAGGCCCACTGCACGCAGACCAAAGCATTTCCTGCGCTTCTGGGGCCAGATAGAGCGACCCGCGAGTCGTTCAACCTGACGCACCGAAGCGACCAACGTTTGCGTGAGCTGTCTCAAGCTTGCTGGGACCATGAAGTGTCGCGGTATTACTTGGTGACGGGCGGCCTCCTCCAGTCCAGTTGGTGGGCAGACACCCGTACAAACCACGAAGCTTACTAACAGTTCCAGATAGGAAGTACCAGATTTTGCGCGGCCAGCGCCTTCCTCTTCAGACCACTTTAGGCGACGTGCCCATTGCCAAAGGGGCAATGTGAACCAAACCGGCCAGCTGCAGGCAAGCAAAACCTCCCGTGACGGCTTTGGGAGATTCCAACTGACACCGTCATGGATGGACACTCTGTGCCACCCTGTCATGGGGTCATGTGAGCAGACCTGGGACTGGTCGTCGTCGCGTTGGCCATGTGCCTCCGGAGCAACCTCCAGCGGCTCAAAAGACTGGCACTTCCTGAGCAGCAATATCTCTTCCTGGGACAGTCGACACAGGTAGCGCCAAAAGAGCCACAAAGCATCCCGCTGCGTCCGAATGTACTCAACGGCTTCGGCAGCAGTCTCCTTAACGACGTCGAAGTCGTCCAGAAGCGTGGCCTTGGCGGCTTCGTCTGCAAGCATGTTGCCAGCGCAGTACCATTGAGGCAAGCCCCACAGTGTTTTGGCGTCCTGGTGGGCCGCGACCTTGCGCAGCTGTATGCGTGGGGAGTGCACTTTAGCCAGTTCATGGGCCAGATCAGGCCACATAGGTGGGCGGTTTGTAGCTACTCTTTCCCACTCCTCCATGGCGACCTTACTGTCAGTCCAGATCTGCGCATCGCAGTTGTGAATTGCAGCCAATCGACAAGCCTGTATGATTGCACAAATCTCAGCTCGATGAATGTTCTGCTCTCCCGGGACCAAACCAAGGGCATGCACCCTGAAACAAGGCGGGACCTGGTTGAACTCCCGCCATTGGTGCAAATAGCCAGGTATCAACACATCGTCCTGGCTAGTGTCAACTATCACTGCGAAACCTGCGCGGGACGCAATAGGGATGTCAGGGCTGCTACAGCTACCGTCCGTAAACATGCGCAGAAAGCCACGGCGGCCCGGCAGGCTGAGTTCCTCCGGCAGCGGAAGAGGCTGAGGGAGGTCACGAGAATGGAAGATCAACCTGTTGACCTCAAGATCATGTGGCTCAGTTGCGAACGGGCCATGTATCCAGTGAGGCCAGTTTGCCTCCACCAGCTCAAGCACAAAGTGGTATGGCCGTCGCACATGCTCGAGCGCAGGGCAAACCATAAATTTGTGGTGCTTTGTCTGACGGGCACCACACAAGGGACACTCCGGTGGTTCATCGTCCTCCCACCTGGACCGTGCAGCAGCAGACGTGAAACCACCGGCAATGTGGCGGGAAATAATGGCCTGGTCGGAGATACTCAACCGCTTCAAAAGGCGACCTGTCTCTGCTGCAAAGGGGGGAGACAGGCTGGTCATTCCGTTACGGTGGCTCACTGCACCCGCGACCTGGCGGGACCAAGCCCGGCGCACCAGAGTCTTGACATCAGAGGGCCGGCACAGGTGCAGCCACAGCCGAGAATTATCAGGGCCTTTGACGCACCCTTCACTGGACAAGGAAAGGCCCAAACGTAGGAGGTTCAAGCCTAATGCGGTCGCGGGCCCATTGCTGCGGCACTGTGGCTGTGTCGCAGCAGCCAGCTCCAGGACTGAGACTGCAGTCTCCATGTCGAACAAAGCTGCGCGGCGCAAGGCAAGTAATTGGCGCTCGACCACATAACATTGCGGGTCCTGCACGGCAGCGGTAAGTGCCCCAAGTGCAAGATGGGGGGACAGCACCTTGTAGTTGCCCACGATTGCGCGAGAGGCGCGACCACGAAGGAGATCAAACTGGTTAACGGGCAGTGTATGGCTTTCACATCCGTAAAACACCGCAGGCCAAACGCCTCTCTGAACCATTGAAGCCTTCTCACTGACAGGGCGCGGCTGGTCACGCAGTCGATCCAGGCGGTTAAGGGCGTCCTCCAGGCGTCTGTCCCTGAGGCAGGCATGTGGCAGCCGGTCGAAGGTATATGCTACACCGAGGTCCTTGGCTTCAGTGACACAGGCAACAGTGCTGCCCGAGGGAAAAAGAGACTGACCTGAATCACGCCACCACAATCTGTCCTTTCGGCAGGTAGCCCAGCAGTAAGACTTGGCCCAGTCAACCGGGATCCGGAGCGACTTCAAGAACTGGAAGGCGCAGGGCAAGGCTCGCGCAAGAGGCCCGGCACTGGCGGCTGTCCACGCCCAGTTGTCAACGTATGTGTCAAAGGTGAGGCCGGCGCAAGAGGCAAGGTGAATGGCGAACTGGCACACTGCTGCCATGATGGCAACACTAAAGGGGTCTCCTTCCGGAGCACCATTGAAGCCGCACAAACCCTCACCTAAGTCACCCAAGAAGGAGCTGTGGCGGCGAAGCTTTTGCATGCAGTCCAACCAGAAAAGGACCTCAGGCTTGGGAACACCCATGTGCATCACCATAGCGGCCGCAGGCTGCCACGGGATCTGGTTGAAGCACTTGACTAAGTCAACAGAGGCCCCGAGTAGCCCTGAGCGCTGCAGGAGAGCGCGCTCGATGGCGTGCTGCTGGCGGTAACTCAGATCACGGCACGAGCAGCCCGGCATGGATCCCATGACACCATCATGGAAAAGCGGTCGCCACTGTGCCAGGATTTGTCGGGTTAACACAGAAGCCCAAACACGATAAAGTGTCGAGAAGATCGTGATAGGACGACTTTGTGCGATCGACTCAGGCTGAGCGACTTTTGCAAGGACACTCACCTTGGCCCGTAACAGGTGTGCTGGGACGCCACAGGTAATGGCCTGATGAAAGATGTGGCACAGGACCTCAATTGCCTCAGAGGGTAGGAGCTTCAAGTCTGACGGTGCCCAACCACAAACACCGGTAGCCTTTTGGCGCGGCATGCGGGTAATGGCAGCCGCCCAAAGATCCGGAGCAAAAGACCGTACCTCAATCTCACACCTGGGCACACCCTTCTCCGACAAGAGCTGACAGAAGTGGGGCCATGCGTCAAGGTCCTTGCTAGATGTGCCCTCATCACGTTGCCACAAACTACTCCAGAAACACTCAAAAGCCCGGTGAAGCTCCTGTGGACTGCAGGCAACGAAAGACTGCTTCAGTCTACCTGAGTTTGGCAAATGTTCCCCTTGGACAGTGACGGTGGTTTCGGTACGACTCGTAATATAGCACTCCTGCGACTCAATGCGCGCAGGGCCAGGGCACTGCAAGTTGACGAGTCGCGGGATTTGGTACACTGCAGTGTCCTCGGCTTCCTGTCTGACACATAGAACAGGGGCCTCAGCAGTGCATGGCACCTCAGTAAAAGGCGGGTGTGGGGGGGATCTCATCTGCCTGAAACCCGCCTTGCCCGCCGACTCAGCGCCGTCGAGGTGGACGCGGTAACGGAAATTGTCACGACGTGCTTTGGACTGCTGGCGGGCCAGGCAATCTGCGTCGTACTTCAGGTACGAAAGAAGGTCATCCAGCCACTCGGCTTCGGGCAACTCAACCGGAAAATGGTTGAAAGACGCAATAGACAAGACCCAGTCTGGAAAGCATGGCGGGTAGCCGTGGGCCCTGCAAACAGCCCTCCACTCGTTGCGCAACTGCTGCAGGCGTCGTGGCGAATGTGGCAACCCCAATGCGTGAAGCTTTCTAATGCCGGACAACAGGGTGTGCACTCTACGCACTTGTCGCACCTTCAAGTGCCCCAGGACCGAGGTAACTTCAACATCAGGAGTGTATGCACCCTGCCAGGCCGGGCGGACGAGGGAAGGCAACGGGCGCCTAACCAGTTTACGCTCGGTGCATCTGCCTCGGAAGCGGCGAGAGAGGTACGAGTGGGGATGCCGTATGGGGTCTTTGGCGTGTTGTGCGGCGAGGGCTTTGGAGACCGCCTTTTCTGCCGCAGCTGAGAAATCAATCAGAAGCTGGCCGACTTCATCTGCACTGCTGCAGTTTAAGGCTCGGCGTTGAAGCTGGGGTGCGAAGGGAGAAAACGCACGCTGAAACTCACTCGGGTCAGGAGAAAGCTGGGCCCATGGCCGCGGAAGGTTCCAGACCTGACGATAGAGCGGGCCATCGCTAACGCGAAGACTGAAACACAGTGGGTCGTGTGAGTCAAATAGCTGGGAGTCAGTCATGACCCATGCGTCGTGCCACAACGGCACCAAGGCCGGATGCAACAAGGCCGTGTCGTTCCTGGTACTACCTTTGCAAGTCGGCGGCAACGCAGTACCCCTGCGGCTCAGGTACAGGCCGAAAACATCTTGGTATCCGAGCTGGGCAAAAAGTTGACCTGCAGGCAACTCCAAAGGCGGTGTGTTGAAGTCACCGGCTACGATGCATGGCACCGCGGACTCCGTGGCTCTATGCAGTGCTTGCTCGAGGAGCTCATTGGTTTTGGCTTTGGCATCCCCTTGAGACAACGGAAAACCGTAGAAGGCAATCACCCTGATTTCAATAGCCCCAAGTCGAACAA